AAGGTATAATTATTCCACAATGATTATAGCAAATTTCTTTTTGGATTTTTTTTTTTTTTTTGGATTGTGTAGAGCTGGAAGCTTTGAAAGAACGCTTTGTAAAGCATGCATTTCACACAGCCAAACCAAAGACAGAACGAATGGTGAATGTGAATATTATTCGTAAAGAGACAATGAATGACGGCAAGGAGGAGCTGAAAGCAGATGTGGTACCAGTAATGCTGGCTGCAGAGATGGTAGAGGATACAGCCCACACTAAACCAGGTATGCTTCGGAGAGCACAGATTCAAGGTTTAATGTACAATATTGGCTCTCCTGGAACTAGGATGCTTCTCACAAAGGGAGCTCTACCATTATATCAGCAGATCATAAACAGGGTACCTTCAGGGTGTGTTGGACCTCAGCTTTGTGCTGCCTAGGAAATTGTAAAATGTGAAGTTTAAATCAACTGTGTCATGTGAGCACAGCCAACAGCACAGGAATAGTCAGACACTTAACTGAAGTTAAGGTAGACATAGATTAATTTTTAAAAAATGATGCACTAAGAAGGACCCCAAGTTGAACATCCAACACTTTGGACACCAGATTTGTAGTGAATTAAACTTTGAATTCAAATATTGGAAAATACCATCATAAAAAAAGGGCAGTATCTCTTTAGGGTGCTCATCTCATCACAAATACTTTATTCAAAACCTCTGCAAAGACTTGTCTGTTTATTTCATCGGAATGTTCATTACTTTTGGCCATATCTAAGTATTGATAGATATTGATAAATTTGTGTAGAACTCTTGCTTAAAGACATTCTTAAGTAGGTGACAAGCCAAATCCAAAATGATGAATCAAATCACATGAACTGCCATGAAAGGGGGCAATCTGCAGCCCCTTGGCCTAATTACCTACAGCTTTTGACCTCACTTCTGCCATCCCACGCAAGAAATCAGTTCCCATTTCTGGTACAAGGGATCCTTTTAGCCTTTGCAGCCTGCTGCTTGGAATATGCATTGATGTCGAGAGAGAGAAGAGATGTCCCAACCCATTGTTGGCTTTGGCCCCTTCATATTTTAGCCTTACCCATTATGAAGCCTTGAATGAAAGGAATGTAGCCCTCAACAGAAAAAGAGTTCCCCATCTGTGTTTGACACCATTGCAAAAAGCATAAGGATGTGGTTGGAACACTTGACTGTCCTTGAACAGTGCTTATGAAAGGAGATCTAGAAATTTGGGGCAAGCAACTGCATCATGAGGCTATTGTGGAAGCTGTTAATTTGCATTTTTTTTATGTCTATAGAAATATCTGAATCTTATTATCATGTATTACAGTATTTATATAATGATTATATGGGTTAATTGTTGTACAAATCTCATCAAGGCAAATTACAAGTAAAACCAGCTATCATAAATTCAAAAGCAACAATAAATTATATTAAAGAAATAAAAATATAAGCCAGAGCTGCTCTTTGGGGGTGTTTTCCATGGAGCAGGTAAGGGCAATAGCCCTGTGGGATGAGAGGAAGGCGATAGTTTGGCTGGTATTGGCCAACTCTAACCTTCCTCCATCTGGTATCTGAATACATGAAGAGGCAAGTATGTAGTCTAAACAGGTGGCTGATTCATTTGCATTGCCTATATAAATCTGCCAGCCCTATCATTTCTGTGTCTTATTGCAAAGGCCCCAGGACTGCCCATTATTAGAATAAGAAGAGAATCCTTGCTTTGGCTTGTTAAGTTGTGGCTGTCTCCTGGATTTGCCTTGATCAGGTCTGAATGCTTATTGACGGTGCTATATAAATAATCTAGCCCTGCTTGAAGCAATATTTTTCTGACTTGAAAAAGTTTAATCCAAAGGTAGTTAACTGTTTTCTCATAGTCCTGTTTCATTCATCAGGAAAGTTGAGCATAGGGAGAGAAAGTTCTATTTGTAAGGAGGCAGTGTTTTGCCATCAACATGCAGATTCCAAATAAAGAGAGATAGTATTTCAGTTCTGTCTCAGTACAGGTAGTCCTTGTTTAGCAGCTGCTTCGTTTAGCAACTATTCACAGTTATGATGGTGATGAAAAAGTAACTTTACTAAAAATGAGACAGTTTGAGGAAAAGTTTAAGATGGACAATTACTGGATAGAAAAAGGGCAGAAAGCATAATTGTATGTTTTTTCTCTTTTTTTCCTTTCAATTTCTTTCTTGTTTCTCTAGTTCCTGTTTTCTATCTTTGTTCTTGTTTGTTTTGTATATTTTATTACATTGAAAATTTCTAATTAAAAAATGTAAACTTCAGAAAAACTAATTTTATGACCAGTCCTCGCATCTATGACTTTCACAGGTCTATATAGCAAAGGAAAGTTGAAGTAAGATCATAAGCACAGTCATGGTTTCACCTAGCGACTGCTTCACTTAATGACTGAGTTGCTGCTCCCAATTGTGGTCGCTAAAGAAAGACTACCTGTACGTGTGTTTTTTTTTTTAAATGAAGTCTTTCTTTGCTGGCAGTATTAACTACTGTGGGGTCATACCGTCCCCAAGAATTTGGATGGTGGAATAGTTTGGGTCTTGTTCTGAAGCCTGGGGAGCAACACAGCCCTGAGAATGCTTTGAAGCAAAAGGTGTTGACTGATTGATTTAACTGCCTTGGAAAATAAAGCTCAGGGCTCTTCCAGTCAGTTTGTGAAATGTCTTTCCCTTTCCAGGTATTTTTTTTATTCCTTTTTAGTTCAGTTGTGTGCAGCTTTGCTAAAATGATGGCTTGAGGCAATAAACTAAAAGGGTGTATTGCATAGGTCTTAATATGGGGATCTAATATATCTATCTTTTCCTGACTGCCCAGGTGAAAAGTTGCAGATGTTGAAGGCTAAGCTGCAGGTAGCCATGAAGCTTCGCAGGACAGAAGAACGCCAGAAGCGCCATGCATTATTCAAACTGGATAATGAGGAGATGATGGAGGAGGAGGAGGAGGAGGAGGAGGAGGAGGAGGAGATGTCAGATGAATTGGAGGAGGAGGAGGAAGAGGAGGAAGAAGCCAATCAGGAGGTCTCTTTCCTTTCTTTTTGCCTCCTTTGGCAAGTTTTTGCACGTAGTTGGCTAGAAATCAACCAGGGAATTGAGATAATTGGCAAGCTGATGAAGAGAGATTCTTTCTTGGCTCACTGCCAAAAAGATAAAAGTTCTTTGAAACAAATACCTCCCCCTCTGGCCATAAATAAATAATGAAGCGTTCTAAAGGCTGCAGCTGTCCAGAGCCAAGCATTGAAATGTGTGTGGGGGATGCCTTCTAGGCTTAATTATTGGCTAGCTTTGCAGTCAGAAATCTCACCTTCCCTGTTTTCCATACCCAGAGCTGCTCTGGTTAATCAAGAAGAGATTTGCTCTCAAGAAGCAGGGAAATAAAGGTACAGAAGTTCAAGTGAGGGTCTGTGCAATGCTGAAATGCCTTCTCTGCCACTAACGATGCTGGCCAGGCTATTACCTGTGATTATGTTCCATGTAGCTGGAGGACACTAAGTTGTGGAACAGCTGTTCCATATCTTGCCTTAGTTATACAGTCATCAAGCAAGTGCTGGTAGGAGATGGAGGTGAAGATGAGATGACTGCACCCAGTGCAACTTGCAGCCCTGCTCTGCAGTTGTGTCTGAGAGAGAAGTGAGGAACAGCAACAGGTTCTGAGGGACACCAAGTGGTTTGCACTCCAGCCTCTTTTCCTACAGTCTCCCATGCAGTGTTTTCATTTTTCAACAGTTTCTCTCTCCAGCTACTATAAGACGTAAAATGAGGTAAAGCAGGGAGGAGCTTTGGTTCTTGACTTGCGTTTGGCCCCTCCCTCCCAGCTGCATGTTGCAACATGGTTATTGGAGGTGCTCTGGCAACGCAGCAAGGAATGTGCTTGTGGCTTCAGGATTCCTTTGGAATCCTGGAATATGTTTTTGCCGGATCTCATATCTGCTTTTCAGGAGAGGTGGAGTTGTAAGGGGCAGATATGTTGAGTTTGCTTTAAATTTATTATTATGATTATTCAACCTTATACTTAGGGAAAGGCCAACTCTGCAATTGCTACCAGTAGAATAAATATCAGAAGGAGGCTTCCTGATACACAATCCTTGCTCATTTTGCAGTCTTTACAAGTAAAACACTGCAGTGCAATGTTAGGACTGAGCCAGAGAGCAGACATCGGGAAACAAAGCTGACTGCTAGTGGATCTGGCTTGTGTGGTAGGAGCGGGATTTTCTCAGTAGTGACACTATGACTCTAGAATTCTTGCCCAGGGAAATTACAGTTGCCTGGCTTTTAATGTCAGTTGAGATATACTTGTTTACATAAGTATTTATAGCAGTGTTTCTCAACCTTGGCAACTTGAAGATGTGTGGACTTCAATTCCCAGAATTCCCCAGCCTGGGGAATTCTGGAAATTGAAGTCCACACATCTTCAAGTTGCCAGGGTTGAGAAACAGTGGTTTATAGGGTAGCCATTGCTGCAGAACCATATTATCTTTAAGTAAATTCTTAATATGGTATATTCTAGTAATTCCTATAATTGTATTATTTTGTTTTAAGGGAGATTGTTTTCCTGTTGATTGGTTTTGTTAATCTGTACTGATTGCTTTTATTGGATTTTGTGTGTGGTTTGGGGTCCTTTGGCAGGAAGAACAGTATAAAAATACCTCCTTGAGTGATCAAGAGGTAAGGGCAGGCTTCTAGATTACGTTGATGTCCTCCTTGAGTGATCAAGATCCAACTGAAACATAAGGTGCACCATTAATTCTGCTGGAGTTTGCCCCTGACATTAGCTTTAAATGCTGTAGTGGCCTTCTCCAACCTAGTCCTTCTTCGTCAGCCTGGCTCAGAATTCTGGAAACATTGGTCCAATACTTTCAGAAAGAATCAGGCTGAGGTAGGCTGCACTAGGGTTTAACTGTGTAACATATGGAGAAAGAATAGAAGAACCTGGGGTGGCTACAGGTTATCTATTTTTCACTGTTCCATCATTACAATAAATTCTAGGAAAAAGGACTTCTGGGGTGTTTGAGACAGATTTGTATGCACAACATCTGTTCCCCTTGTGAGCCTACCATCAAGGCTATAATGAAAGTTTTTAATGATCCCATAAGGATATTTACTTTCAGCAAATAGTTCTGTTTCACTCACTGTGGAGTTTCATGTGTATGTATCCCATTAGGGCCTAGATGATCTCCTTGGAGAGATTGAGGAGGAAAATGAAGAGCTTGGGGAGCAAGATCTTGAGGATGATAAAGAATCAGCTGATGAAGACCAAGCAGCTAACTCTGGGACCTGCAGTGTTGTTCCAAAGCCTTCCTCCACAGAGTCAACATTGCTACTGTTTAAAGACAATTCTTCAAAAACAGGGTACTTTAAAAAATCCAGAAAAAAATACTGCTTTTGGTGTGCCCCAAAACCTATTTTGTGGGAGCCAGTAGGAAATACCTGTTGTAACTCTGTTGAGCACTACCAATAATATCTTGATGAACCATGTTCCTTTCTCTGTATTCCTTTGTATTTACGGATCTTTATTTATTTATAAAATTAACTTGCTGCATTTCCTTTTCAAAAAGAGGAATTGCTCAATACATTTTTCAAAAAGTCAAAATCATGAGAAAACTAAGGTGTATTTAAAATAAATCATGTAGATAAATTATGTTGATAAATCATGCTGATATCTTAAATGGTTTTTTCCAGATGTTTTCTGGCAGGTGAAAAAGTTGAGATGGAAGAAGCCATGGGCAAGAGAGCAGACAAGCCAGGTAGAATATCTGCCCCTGTATTGTTTCTTTCTATCCTTTTTGTGGTGAACAAGACAAGGTTATTGCAGATCTTTTATTTACTGCCTTTTTAACTCTGCTTTTCAGACTTGTCTCTCAGGGTAGAACGCATCCATTAAAAAAGAGAGGGAGGCCCTGTCCTCAGGCCTCAAACTATAAAACTGCTATTTTAGAACCATCCAAAAGATACGTAGCATGTGGAATATATTACTGGCATTGCTTTTTTCTTTTTGAGTGGAACTGTGGACAAATAGTTTGGTTATATTTTTGAGAGGCCTCTCAGGAAACCAACCCTGGGACTGATCTGGCCAACCAGCTGCTCTTCTCTAAACGGTCATGCTTCATGGTCCTCCAAAGCATGTTCTGAGTTCAACTGTGTTTGCTGAAACAGCAGGACCTAATCCTTCTGCATGTCCTGGTGACAGAGCAGTGTTAGGAGCAGAGCTCCTGTAAATAGTGGAAGGAGGAAGAGACACGGAATATAGTAGCTTATGCATTGCTAGGATTCTACAGTGGAAGGCCAGGAGGTTTTCATTTTATTTGGATGCTGGTTTATGTAGCTGCAACTTATTCCACGCTTGTACTTGCTTAATTTCCTCTTTTTAAATAGCAGATCTCCAATATCTCAGTAGAAACAGGATGTCTCAAGCAGTTGATATGTGCTTATGCTCCAAGAGATCTTTCTTTGGGGCAAGCCCTGGGAATGAATGTTGCTTTCTGCCATAACAAATTCCAATACTGTGATTAGGGTCCGAGAGGATTCTACCTATCTGGCTACCAAGTGCAAACCAGAGTGGGCTTAGTCAGATACTTGTTGGCTTGAAACACAAAATCAGAGAGATGAGTGCTGGTGGAGAGCCAAAAATTGGCCATTGAGAAACAAAAGGAAAGTATAATACTGCTGAATGAACTCCTAAGATGTAGGCATACAGGTAGTCCTCGCTTAATGATCATTTAGTGACTGTTCAAAGTTATAGCAGCACTGAAAAAAGTGACTTATGATTGGTTCTTGCACTTACGACTGTCACAGCATCCCTGCGGTCACGTGATCATGATTCAGTTGCTTGGTGATGGTCACACATTTACGATGTTTGCAGCATCCCAGAATCATGTGATCGCCATTTGCAACCTTCCCAGCCAGCTTCTGACAAGCAAAGTCAACAGGGAAGCAGGCAGGAGGTCGCAAGTCGTGGTCAAGTGATGTCTTGCTTAACAACCTCAGGTGATTCACTTAACGACTGCAACTGGAACTGACATTGTAAGTTGGCGTTGTCAGTGATGTTTCACTTAATGATCGCTTTGCGTAGTGATGGAGTTGCCAGTCCCAATTAGGGTCATTAATTGAGGACTACCTGTACAGTGAAAAAAGACTCCAAAGGAGGGGCCTCCTGCAAGGGCAAAACAGAACTACAGAGCTGATCTGCTAGCAGCCACAGAACGTGGTATGTTTGGAAGAGAACAGTGGAAAATTGGGAAACAGGGAGGGAGGGTATGTAAGCCATGCAGTGCTTAACTATCCCAGAGGAAAGCACAGCAATCTGTTTTGAAGCCTGAACTAGAACATGTTGATTGGAGGGCAAGGAGATATGGTAACAATTTGTCTCTCTTAATAGAGGAGTCAAGTCAGACCTGAAATCTTGTCTGTTCCTGTATTTGGCAAGTTGAGAAAAATCTGTGTTATATAATATCTGTACAGATGGACTTTGTTATTCACGGTCCCATTATCTGTGGTTTAATATATCTGCAGTTGATAAATACGGAACAAAACTCATTATCTGTGGTAAATGGTTTCATGTATCCATGAGTTTGGATGCATGATCCTGATCTGTCTACTCTTTTCTGTTTGCATAGAGCTGGCCTACACACACACACACACACCCCAATTTCCCAAGGATTAGCAGTCTTTGGGCTTTGCACGGTCATCCTCTTTCTGCTTGTGAGTTTTTCCACCGTGAAAATGAGCAAATATCCGGTGGAGAGCTTTGGTGAGAGAAGCTGTGTTGCCCTCGAGTGAGAAGATGATGCTGTCTGAGATCCTGCAGCTGGGGAGGGGGTTGGTGGACAGAGCTTGACCTTGACCTCTGCAGTACACCAACAAGTTCAAAAGGCTGCTTTGCAACCTTACCAGGGCACTTACCAGGTTCTGCAAAGCAAGGCCAGCTACTTTGGAAACACCTCCCGTAGCCACGAGAAGGTGACATCAGCACTTTCCATGACTTGGGGGAGCAGGAAGAGGAGGAGTGGCCCGTTGCTTCCTTATTTTCACTCTGTATAAAATGTCCTTATTTTATTTATTTATTAAATTTTCAACCGCCCATCTCCCCCCAGTGGGGGAACTCTGGGCG